TGCATAAAAAAATCTTTCAAAAAATAATAAAAACGATTCAGAATCCTCTCATAAAGAATATAATGGAGATATGATATTAAGCCCTGGAATATCTATCTCCTTTAACCCTAGTAAAAGGAATTGGAAAAATTTCCAAAATATGGATTTAAGGAGTTAACATGTGTCTTAAAAAGAAAACAGATATACAAATGGGAAGAATGGGAAGAGAAAATTAAAACTAAAGAACAAATAAGATCAATTTTGCTAAAAGCTAAAAACTAAACTGGTAAAATGTAATGCAGTTGAAGAAGTGGTTAAGAGAGAGTGAGAAATTAAAACTAGAGGATAGAAAATATACCAAAAATTATAAAGAATTTGGAAAAAGAAATAGATGGAAAAAAGAGAAAGGAAGAACATGAGTAATTTATAGAATTTTGATGGATTGGAGGTAGAATATGAATACGAATACCCCATCTCTAATCGGAGGGAACAGTTAGAAGATTTAAAAACAGTATAGTAGGTGGATATAGGGAAGATAGATAAGGAGAACTGAAAAAAATCTGGAATAGAAGGATTTTTAAAAATATGTCAATTAGGATACAAGAAAATTGTTATAAAATATTATGAAGATGGTATTTAACACCAATGGTAAAATTAAGTATTATAGATTCTAAATACTCCAAGAAATGTTGGGGATGTGGATGTAACAAAATTGGTAAATATTTTCATTTTTGGTGAATTGTGAAGTTATACAAAAAGTATGGGTCAAGAAAAGATCAGAAAATTCTTGGAAATCAAATACTAAAATGGTTCCAAAAACAGCATTGTCACTGATGATAGAAAATTGTGATGTGAATAATACCAAAAAAGGTAATTAATTTGATAACCACAGCTCATTTGCTTATATCAAAGAATGGGAAGAAAAATTGCGATTTCCAGCTGCAAGAGTGGTACAATGAAATATGGAATATAGCAGTTAATGATAAACTGACTTGAGAAATTAAGTTTAAAAAAGGTGGAGAAGAGAGGTAGAGATAAAGGTTAATAGATTCAATAAAATATAAGAAGAATTTATAAAAGTTATATTGTGTAAAAGGAAAAGGAAAAAACTGCAATTAATATATGTATTTTTAGAAGGACTTTAGGGGTGGATAAAGGAAGAGGGAGATTATGATTATTAGTAGAAGTATGTAAGATATAATGGTCCCTAGGGGAAGCGGTGCATTTGTATTCTGTGTTTATGTATTTAGTAAGTTTTATGTGTTTGTAGGATATGTATTTTATAAAAAGTAAGTTAAAAGAGAGTTGGAAAAGTTGTGGAAAGCAGTGTAAGACTCCAAGGTGAAGCGTAATTATCAACAAATAGCAGGCAACATCAAGAGCATTTGGGACAGCTGAAAGTAAATCTTCCATGGTACATGCTGAGGTGCATGTATAGGTATGAGGCTGCTTGTTTTTCTCCGCAATCAGAAAGAACTACATCCGTGTGATACCCCTATTTGTTAGGTTCACCTTGGTTCTGTCAACTCCACTCTGTAGCCTATTAAATGATTTCAAAGTAACCCAATTCTCCATGTAACCAGGAGCTAGATTTTTCCTGTGGTTCCATCCATTTTAAGAGATGAGCAATTCTTTCTTTCCACGTTATAGTCCTAACATTCTCTGCTGTTTCTTCAAGATTTTGAAAAGCGTCCTTGATTTTAATTTGGAAAGGACGCTTCTAAAGTGGAACAATCAGCTGATAGGTGCTGTCATTGTCCAGGGAACGCCAACATGTTTTCATATTACAGTATTCAGGGAGGATTCTTCCATGTCCCATAGTGGTGAGTTAGGCAAATACTTCAAGAGCTGAAGAGACAGATGGCCTTTTAGAGATCGAAAGAGAGGCCATATGCAAAGATCTGTTTTTAATCACTTGCTCTGCTTCCTTAAGACACTGTTTCCAGACGAACAGGCCCAGCTGTGACTGGCAATTTCAAAGACCCTGCCTCTATGGATTTTACATGAATGGACCGCGTGGCCTTCATTTAAGCAAAGAAGGCAGGTCAGTGGTGATCTTGCCTCTACTGAAATGCTATAATTAAAATAATAAAAAAGAACAATTAGGGAAAGGTGAAAAAGGAAGAAAATCTCTATGAATCTCTATGAAGAAAAGGAAAGATGGGGAAAGGATCTACTCAGCAAGACATTTAAGTTAGTCTCTTCTTTCATGGTGGAAAAAAAAAGGAAGAGTGTCAAAGTGTGCCTGAGTATGCACAGTACACAAAAAGGCTGGGGCTCCCACCAAAGTCTAGTTCGTAATTAAGTATACCAAAGTTGGCTCTGTGCATGGGTAAAACCCATATGGGTGAGACACATGAACCAGTAAATCTATTGGTAAATCTTGATTTCCAATAGAACAGAAAAGGTTTGGGATTCCTGACTATTTAACAGTAAGAGTAACAAAATGACTCTAAATTATATTGCTGAAATGAAGAAGAGTTACTGTATTTGCCGGCGCACAAGGCGACTGGCTGTATAAGACGACCTCCCCAACAGGAGGAGGAGGAAGAAGAGGGGAAACAGGCGGGCGGTGGGTGAGCAAGCGCGCGCGGCATGGCAGCGAGAGGGCGAGGAAGAGTGGAAGAAGGTGAGCGGGGGCGGCAGGAGGAGGAAGAGGAAAAGGGAAACAGGCGGGTGGCGGGGGAGTGAGCCCAAGCCGGACCACCTTTTTGCAGAGGCCTCTCTTTTATTCGCCTCCCGCGCGCACGCTCCTCCGGCGGACGAGCCCCAGGACTCTCAGCTGGGCCCCCCTACCCCCCCGGAAGAAGCCTCTCCTGGGGGGATCAGGCAGCCCCGCAGCTGCTTCATCACCTCTGCCAGCATCTGGTTGCAGAGGGCAGAGTAAGGGTTCATCCGGACCAGCTGCTGGCGGGCGAAGGGGCTGGCGAGGCGGGCCACTTGTTCGAAGTCCCTCCCAGCCTCCTCCTCCTGACCTCTCAGCTGCTGGATCAGGCCGCGCTGCACGAACCCTTTGCAGGCCACCAGGCTGCTCTCCTGGCAGTCGCTTTCCCGGGAGACGGGGGGGAGGGGGTTTCAGCACTGCTGTGGGGGTGTAGCTCCGGGACCTGGGCGGAGCTGTCTCAGCGGCAGTTGGCTCAAAAAGTCGTCTTGTACGCCGGCAAATATGGTAGGCTGACTTTTTTTTGTGTAGAAGGCCTGTGAGCTCTGTTTAGTTCTGATACTTATGTGAAATTCCTGGATCAGAATATTTTAATTCTCAGTTCATATACTTTGCATGAGTCTTTGGATGCTGGATCTCATGGTTTTAACAAAAAACAAAGAATATCCAGCAAGCCGGAAGTCTATCTATATCTGGTACATTTAAAAAGTGACTAATTTCTCAGGTCTACAACACATGTGCAACATATGTGCAAAAGAGTATCTCTAGTTATAAGGAATCAATTCCCACAGAGAACAGAAGATTTTATAGGATACAGAGGAATTGTTAACTGTACTATCAGGGTAACAATCAAATTCTTTCCTAGAACCCTGTCTGAAATCCTGTTGTGCCATTCTGGATGAGCAAAGGTAATTAATTCATCGTTGTCAGCTGCCGCCACTGTCACCACCCACTGCTACTTAAAGTCTTTGGCAATTTTGGCATGTATGTGACTTTGTAGCAAATACACTCCAAGGATGAAACACTCCATAAAACCCATATGAGACAGCATTTAAGAAAGCAGGATCAAGTTGGTCCAGAAGTAACACTTGGGCTGTATTCATTTGGCTACTTCAGGAATTCATACTGCTCCTGACTGCCAGAATGGCACCTTTTGTTGGCTGTCCCTTGAGGACAATGTTCAAATCTTCAGTTCAGATTGAAATCAGGGCATATAGAAACGAGTAATTTCTGCTGAGTCCTTAACTGGCAACAGGGGAACATGTCTGTTAGAGAGTGGCTGTCTGAGAAGGGCTTTTTAAATGGATTGTTGTGCCTTGTTGCTTTTAGTATTGATTTTATTTACCATTTTTAATATAATATTTATTTAATTCTTTTTAAATATTTGTGTATTTTTTTCTTTTTGCTGTTTTTGCTTTTAAATATTGTCTTTTAAATGATTTAAGCCACCCTGAGCCTTTTTGAGGAGAAAGGCAGAGTAAAAATATTTTAAATAAATAAAATAAATAAAATGACATGCACCTCTAAATCGCCAAAGGAAGCTTTGATCACTTGTGATTTGCCATTGCTGAATGAAATCATTCCCACTGCTCACATGAAGCTTATGAAGTAGATAAGAGTGACAGACTAGAACTCAGGAGATCTGGCCCCCACTTGGCCAGTGTGTGGCACTGGCAAAACACTCCTTAAATATCACACATACCTTAAAAATCTATAAGGGTCATCACAAATTAGATGTGAATTGATGGCATAATAACAACAATGATGCCAGTGAGTAAAATGGGCCAAATGAAGAAATGGCTAAAAGTAACCTTTTCTTTTTAAAGGTGTTACAAAGGAATAATTTCTTTACTAAAGTTCCATCTCTTTTGATATGATCCACAAATAAATGTCTGAGGATAGGCAGAGTATTTGTACAGAAGGAGAACTGGTGCTAAAATATACATTTTAAGAATGTGGGGTGGTGCACAGTTGAAAAGAAAATATGCAGGATTACCTTAATTCTTCCTTAAATTAGATAAGTTTAAAAGAATACATTGGGAGTAATGTTGTTGCTTGGTGTACTAATTGTGACTAGAGTCAATTGAAGTTGCAGAGGAGTTGACTTACCAAATCCCTACTGATTCAATAAGCCTATTCCAGTTGCTATTTGCTGCCCCGAGCAACAGGATTTCACCCATTATGTTTTATGCACTGGATTTAGGCGTATGATATCCCAATTGATAAATTGTTGTTCTTCTGAAAATTCTGATGTTTTCTCAAGCGTGCTGATGCTACCCAGATGGTGCTCTTCTGGTGGCATAAGGCCCCAACTCAGAAAATATGATCACTAGTAGTCAGCACAATGTGGGTTTTTTACCTTTCAGCATTTTCCTTGGTGAGATTCACAGCCGCTTCTGATTTATCTATGGCAATGACCCGGCTCTGTAGGGAGGGAAAAACAAAACAAAACAAACATGAAAACATGTCTTGGACACAACTGGATGTCATTTGGGAAAAGAGCAATGGCAGTGAGCAATGCAAGTGTCACATTTTCGGAAAAATGCTCTGGCTAACTTTACCTAAATCTATCACAACTTTTTTTAAAAAAATAGAGCTATTATCACTTCTAACATCTTCCTATATTTTCTGACACCCATGCATTTTGTCTCCATGTTATACAGAATGCCTCTGAAGTTTTCTGAGCCTAAAGAACAGGGTCAAAATAGGACATCATTTTTAAAGCATGAAGTTCTTAATTGCCAATAGAGATGGAGGTGTTCGTACTCATATACGAATACCCCCACACAGGTGGGCATAACAAGGGTCTGAACTGTCCACTCACCCTTTTGCTGGTGCTGTGGGCTCCGTGATCCTTTCCTATTGTTCCGGAGCTTGTAGTTGACTACCCACTCACCCCCATCTATAATTGCCAATAATTAAGCCTCAGGAAAGGTGTTCCAGTTTTTTGAGGAATAGGAAAATGTTTCCACAAAAGCAAGGAAACCACCAAATTACCTTTTTTTTAAAAGAACAAAGGGAGAGGGGTGGTGATGGCCATCTGGGGAAGCCCAGAGAGCCGATTCAGCCCCAGAGTGTGAGGTTCCCTGCTCCGTTTTTTGGCCAAAGGCTGCATTCTTTCAAGGGTGTGTGGGTGCATGGTAGCCATTTGTGAGCCCAGAGCATTTTTCTCTTTCTGCCAGAATTTCCCACTGCCTTCTTGGTTAGTGGCCCAGCTGGGGAGGAAATGACGGCTTGTGTCCATCTGACTAATCCTCCTGGCCACTAATCAGGTTACTTCCGTACCTAGCACACCACAGGGATTATTGTAAACTCTTTTTCCAAAACTTCCCAGGCTCATTGAGGAAACCGATCTAAAGTGTCTGCCCCCTTCATATTGTCCAGAGACACTCTCTCCACAACATCTCCTTTCCCAGAAAGTTCCATCTTCCTCTCACACAGTTCCAACAGCATTTCTGCACCTAACAGGATGTACTTGTTTTCCACCAGGATTAAATAATTTCCAGATGAGGAGACTCCTGAAAAGCAGGAGGCAACTAGTTAAAAGACAAGCGCACCCAAACCAAAACTGTAAATGGGACGTTTGGTCCTTCCTGTCAGCTCTTTGATCACACAGACTTGGAAACAGGGGCTCCTCTCTCATCTATTTGATTGCATTCTTCTGCTTGGAAAAGGGCTGTGAATATCTCATCTCTAGTTTTTCTACCTAAAACAAATCAAACACACTCACATGAGGCAGCTTCTTCAGGATACTCAGAGCTATGGCCCCAGAACCACAGCCAACCTCCAGGATCACAGGCCCATGAGACGGAGGGAATGGCCAAGGATCTCGGCGGCCAGCTGAGTTCAATCTCTTCTTGCGTTCTTCATCCACAGCAAGGGAGACTAATTCCTGGAAGTCAAAACCAGTCTTTATAATGATTTCACTCTGACTGCTTACTTTCCTGCCTAAACATGGAGAGTGCCCTGTTGACAGCTTGGGAATTAGATGGTTCAATGAGGGCCTGTATTTCAGCTCTCTACATGGAACTTGCACATCTGGAGAATAGATTAAAATTTCATTCACAGATATAATGATAATGAAGAAGATGAGAAACAACGTTCTGTAACATTTCTCTCGCCCTCAGTTTTTCTCCTTATATGGCCTGACCTACATACCCAAGAAAGGCCAGCTATTTAAAAAAAATCTGGTTCATTTTAAAGTTTTTTTAAAAGGAAATCTACCTGCATTTAGGAAACTACAGTACAAGGAAAAATTCTGTATTAATAAAACAATCAAAGCAAAACCAAACCAAACCAAACCAAAGGGCCTATAGACATACATTAGCGTAGAATAATTTTCCCCACAGAACCCAGAAATCCTAAAACATTTTACGGCAATGCCTCCTCTGCAGCAGGGGGAAAACAGGCCATTGCTCTTTGCTGCACAGAAAATTAGCTGATATGGGGGAAAGCAAGGCAAGAATCCTTCACCCTGACATAACTAGCTTTCCATATTTAGAAACAAAGTTTCAGATATAGGAAAGAAGTGCGGGATGGTGCGGAAAAACAAGACTACCTGCAGAAGGTGAACCTGGGAATGGAAACTATTCCAATTACTAAAACAGGGACTGCATCCTGACAACTTCCCATGTTAATACACCCTTCCAGATATGCTGACTCGAAAGTACTGCATGTTCTATCACATTCAACAGCACTCACTCTGACATATGTACTTATAGCGGTAGTTCCCAGATGCTCTGAGACTGTAACTCCCAGGGGTCTTCACCACTGCCTATGCTGGCAAGAACTTCGGGGAATTACAGTCCTGGAATGTCTGCGGGCCCAAGGTCGGGAACCACTGGCCTATAGGATCATAGCCTCCGAGGACTATTGTCTGACCTGGGTGTTACTGCAACTAGTGTAGTGGACATGGTGATAGGGGAATGCCTAGCCCACCTCCTACATAATGTTTACGTTCAATAAAGATTAGCAGGACAGTTAAATCCTGTGTCAGACTTTTGGTTATGCAGAAAGAAAACCCTCAAAGAAAATATGAATGCCCACGTATTTAAGTGCACACAAGGGTCTTTGGTCACCTGGACACTGTTATTTTGGGTGTCTGCATTACTGTGGTATGGAGGAGCAGTGGGAGGAACACATTTCCATAGCATCTCATGTGAAGAAGTCCAGAACCTTCACCAACAAAGAATGTTGTTTGCCCAAACGCCAGCACATCTGCACACTCCTTCCTCCTCTAGCAACAAGCAACCGTGAAAGTGGGCCATAGAGCAGCAGTAGCCACCAAAGTCTGGAAAGAAACTCGTCTACTTCTTTGCCACTGTAAATGTGTTTTTGGGTCCTGAGCCCTGAAATCAGTCACTGTGGAAACACTTAGGGTGCTGCAAACAGGTAATAAAATGTAGAAAATGGGACAGAAGAGTCCCTGCGGGTTGGAATACAAAACATTTACGCAGAAGTACTACATCCATTGACAGTAAGGTTGAAAAAAGAGAACTGTGCTGGCTATAGGTGCCTTAGGTGCTTTTTGTTCTTATTCCAGGAGCAATATCATTCCCAAGCCACGGTCATATATATTTCACAATTGAGTTTTCCTGACAATACAAAAGATTATGGTCAGTGGCAATGACTCATCTTGGCCCATATTTTTGCAATGGCAAGAGGACAGGGACAATTAAAAGCCAAAGAAGAACAATATATCTGGGATTAACATCTCTCCCTGGACTTCTTCGGCAGTGAAATTCTTCCTCCTATTTGAAGGAACGATACCCTTAAGGAAAAGGATGAAAGAGCAACATATGACCTGTATTCAAAGTTTCAGCATATCCTAAGGGTAAGGAGATGCAAACCACAATTTCTGTGGCTGTATCTTTCTCTCATGTGGGCACTCACTGGCATACATTAAAGGAGCTTGTTATCACTTCCATCCCTATACAGCTCCTCCTGCACACACCACCTCCTCTTTTATATAGGTGACTTACACTGAGAGCTAAAACCCACCTCTGTAATTATTCCTATTGTGCCTTTCATAGATTCATTTTATGCAGGCTATATTTTACTGAAGTTCTTCAAGAATATGGCCAGCTTTGCTAGAAACAATGACCACAAGGAGGGCTTCCTCACATCTGAGGATTGCTGAGGATAAGAGCTGAGCCACACACTGTTCTAAGAAAATGTCCCTAGAAGCCTAAAAAAACATACAGCTGCCTGCTCTAACAAGGTCAGGTTAGGACAAGGGTGCTTAGCTGAATCTGGCTTCAGGAGGTACAAATCTGACTTCAACGGGCACACGGTTGCCCATGGCCTATTCTAAATCAAGCAGTGGGAAGGCCTGAGATCACATTCAAGCAGAACTCCATGCCCAGCACTCTCATTTGTTCTGCTTCCTCTTTTTCAAACAGGAAAATCGGAGACGGGAATGTGTCGTTGGCTGTCGCGCTTCACAACAAGGACTCTTCCTTGAATTTGCAGCTGAAGTTTGTACCTATACAGAGAAAGCTTGGTCAGCAAAAGCTCCCTTGAACAACACACTGGCCTTCTGTGACCATATGTCATTTATACAAAGGCATTGCAGGAAAAAAAATCAAGTACTGGGACAGAAGGCAGAAGAGTTAAATCACTAACATAAAAATAAATCCCAGAAGGTTCTTTAGCAGTTGCACAATGAGGAGGCTTCCTTCCTTCCCTTTCCTGAGTTTAGAGTCACACTTTCTTTTTTTTTTCTTTTTTTTTCTTTTGAACAATGCTCTTGAAACCTACTGTCTATTAAAATAGTAGAGAGGGAATGTTAAAATAGGGATGGGCTACATACCATATTTTTCCGTATATAAAACGACACTTTTCCCTAAAATAGAGGAAAAATTGAGGATTGTTTTATACACAGAAGGCAGCAGGAGGAGGTGGAGACTGAGGCAAAGAAGCAGCCGGGCTCAGCCGCCTCTTGCTGCTGCCCATTGACTGCCACAGCTGATGCACAATCGCCCCCCCCAGTGATAATCGCCTTGTGATTGGGTTCTCTCTGCCTCCGCCACTGGTTGTGGTTTCGGTGATTGTGCAGCCCTTCAATCCCTACTTTCCCCTTCTTTTTGCTAAGCCCCGAGGCTTAGCAAAAGGAAGGGAAAAGCAGCGGCCAAATTTTCTAATTTGGGGTTAGAGAAGGGGTGGTGGTGGTCATCTTATACATTGGGTCATCTTATAAACGGAAAAATACAGCACCTTCTCATGTTCCCGCTCACTGCCAAAGTTTCTGCCACCACCCTCAAAATCTCAATAATTTGACTAAGAGACACAATGTGTAGGAACGGCATACCATCGTTTTCAACACAGTTCCATTCCCAAAAGGCTGCTAAGAACTTGATCTTGCTGGTATACAAGGGCAGGCTTCCCCCGTCAGCCAAGATCGCAAAAGGATTGCTAGGTGTGTTTTGTTTTGTTTTGCAGCAGCAGCAGTAATGTTTTTGATGGGACATGCACTGGGAAGGTGCCACCTCTAATAGGTTCCTTGGGTGATAGGTACCCCTCAAGCCTTGGCAAGCTGACATGGTCTAGAGGGGCGGGGTATAAATTTAATAAATAAATAAATAAATAGTCCTGAGTTTAAGTCAGTCATAACTTGCTATATTTGCTTCACAAGGCCTTAATCAAACTAAATAAATTAAAATTCAGTGTCTGTGAAAATTCAGTGTCGTCAAAGGCTCTCTGACCAAACTACATATGCACAGTCTTCTATAAAACATAAAGGGAAGGCTCGGTTTGGACTGTAGTCACACCATAATTTTTTTACATCAACCTGGCATGGTGGTTAGATAATAGCCTGGAACTCAGGAGGTAAAGGTAAAGGTAAAGGTTCCCCTTGACAATTTTTGTCCAGTCGTGTTTGACTCTAGGGGGTGGCGCTCATCCCGGTTTCCAAGCCATAGAGCCAGCGTTTGTCCAAAGACAATCTTCTGTGGTCACATGGCCAGTGCGACTTAGACACGGAACGCAGTTACCTTCCCACTGAGGTGGTCCCTATTTATCTACTTGCATTTGCATGCTTTCGAACCGCTAGGTTGGCGGGAGCTGGGACAAGCGACAGGCGCTCACTCTGTCACGTGGATTCAATCTTACTCAGGAGACCTGGCCTGAAATCCCCACTCAGCTATGGGCCTGATGATGCAGTTGCAGAGTGCTATTCCATGGAAGTGCAGCCCAGCATTAGCAGCATTTTTAAATGGGCTTTCGACCTATTGGCATACCTCAGTTTACAAATTTAATGCATTCTCTGGGACGTTTTGTATTGCAAAAAATTCACAAACCGAAACAGTTTCCCATAGGAATGCATGCACTGGGGCAGTGCTATAAACCTCCCAAGAACAATGCATCCTGGGAAAACTTGCTTCGTATTGCCAAAAAAAACCCCAAACAAACAAAAAAAGGAATCCAAGGCATTATTTTCAATAGATTTTCATTCATAAACCAAAAATTACGTTAACTGAGGTGTTCATAAACCGAGGTATGCCTATACATGGAAAAGAACGTGCAGGAAGCAGAAGAATCCTGGCATTGGTTTGGAGAATCGTACAACAGCAGGATAGCCATGAGGGCACTCAGCCTCTAGCAGGAAAGGAATCAACAGAGGAGTTTGATGGTTGTTGTGGGTTTTTCGGGCTCTTTGGCCGTGTTCTGAGGAGTTTGAACTTGTCACATTCTCTCAGCCTGACCTACCTCACAAGGTTTTTGCAAAGAAAAAGGCAGGGGGAGTGGGGAAAGCCATGTACATAGCTCTGACCAAACTGGAAGAAAGACAGAATATAAATGTAAACAGTAGTAGTAATAGCAGTAGTAGAAGGAACTGCAACAAGCATATAGCTTTTGCAGCTCACTGAACATATAGAAGCAGTTGGAACAATT